TTTCTCGATGTGTCGAAGAAAAAAATTAAAGTCCCCGACTTTTCCCCCCTATATATTCCTTATAAAAACCTATTTATGAGTCGAGATTTTATGTGTCGAATTTTCGATGTGTCGAAGTTTTTTCGTGGTCCGTGTTAAGTAAATCTAGTGCAATTTACCCACAAATAAGTCGAAGTTGTTTCGATTTTTTTGAACACCGTCGATCTCGAGACATTTTTCACACCTTATCTGGCTGCGAAGACGATTTCCAATCAACTTGTGTTCGGGTGTTAATTACCCAGCCGTGTGTTCAAACAGCCTTTGTTTGCGATAAAATGTGTGATAAAATGCTTTAATCGTTACTATTTTAATTGCCGTAGTGGTTTTTGAAAGTAAACAGTCAGAACTACTTTCATCCTTGACCCGGTGTCGCGTGAGAATAACACGCGAAATATATACTATAAGTTGGTTAAGTTATCGTCCTTTCGTATTGTTACGCCTTTTGTAACTCTTTTGTATACGTCAACGGGTAGTCCTAATAATTAGCCGTGAAAAACGTTATTTAACATGCTATATTTATCATTGTAAAATGTGAATATCAGATCAATGATGGAAAAAACATGAAATAGGTTTCGTTATAGACTAGTCACGGGTCGAAATTTTGTCATGGAATTGAATGCGATTCATGAGTCGAAGTCCCGATGTGTCGAAGTTTTTACGCAAGTCCCTTCAACTTCGACTTACCGAAGTTCTACTGTATTTGCTTTAAACTTCAGAACGATGTAATCCAAACTCCTTAAAACATGCTGGTGCAAAATATGAAAACGAAACGCAAGTAGACTTTTCAACAAAAATTCAAAGTGGAACATATATTTTTGTTTTTTGTCAACGTGGTTTTGCGTTTTACGATGACAACGGTCAAGCTATAGAAACTATGCAAAAAAGGCACTGTATGAAGGGAACGATTGTAGATGCGCCAAAATGCCAAGAAGGTGTAGACACTTTTTGTTTGTTATATAGATTTATACCCATTGTTTATTCTTCAATGACCTTTGTCTCAATAGTTGTACCTTTTATGTAAATACTGTCGTCACTATATCATATATATAAATTAGGGTTTATATTCTCCCTGCAATTTGCAATATTTAAGGTATGTATGTGCTCTGTCTAAATTTCTTATTTCAGCTAAATGCTCGCTTGTTGAATATCCGAGCAACCAGTACACTAGCTACTACAATCTCAATCTGAAGGCTATAATTGAACCTAAAGCCGATTATATCAAATCATCACATAAAGTAAGTTTTTAAACATCTTTTTATTTACTACGCTATCAATTTAACCTTAAAATTAAACCAAAACGCTGTCCAGTTATTGTGGTTGCTGTTGTTTTTCTTTTGCACAAAAATCAAAATATAATTATTCGAAAGTTCAAAACGTGTCACAAAATGTGTATCATAAAAAAACGAAATCAGTCTTAGTATAATAGTCCCAAACAAACATAGATAGGTATTTTAGTGTTTCATATTTAACTAAAATTTAATTAATAAGGCTAATAATATTAATATATATTTTGTTTGTCTTTCGTACCGTCGCAAAACTTATCTCCAAGGTTTTACTAAATGTGGACTACATGTATATTCTGCTTTGAAAGTTTCATTATAACGCCTAATAAACATGTGCTGATTTTTGTTTTCAAATTTTCCCCATTATCATAAGTTTTTGAATTCTGCTTAAGCCGTTGCAAGGGTATTTTGCATTTTCAAGTATCTTTAATAAAAAGGCTCAATCACACCGAGCCTGAAACACTTTCAAATTTGTCGTTTTGTGCGCACTTTAAGGCATCTGTTTATTTCTATTTGTTGTACGGACGGGTTGAGCATTTCTTGCGTGATGGTTAAAATTTATGATTTTTAATTGGAAATGTATGTAAAGGATTAAAATTTCATTTTTATACTTATTATTGTATTTTATTTTGCCAGATTGAGGTGAATTGTACAAATGATAAAGAATACGAACTGTATGTTAATGCTTCAAACAAATATGTTGACACATTCAAGACCAAATGTGACCATGGCACATTTAACAGGAGAAAAAAAAAGTTCCCTGTTTGTGTTGAAAGTAAGTCACTCAACCATTTATTCACAAATTTAAAGATTCATAAGGAATTTCTCTTCTTTTAAACCATGAAAGCTGAAATGTTGATATTTGGCTCAAAATATTGTATAGTAAATAATCTCTACTATGTTTTTTAAAGTGCAGCCATTTGGTTTTAATAGAGAATATATGGTTGATGATGGAATAGAGAAGGTTTATCCGGTGAGTGTGAAAGTATATCTTGGCGGGTTTCACCTTCCCAGCCAGCAAGATAAACTCCCATCCTCGGCAACGACCATATTTAAGATTTGTCCTCTGTTTGTGCAGTTTAATTATGTTTAAATGGTTTAATTATTACTTTTTCCCCGATAAAACATCGTCTATATGAGCTTCGTATGCAGTTTTGTTTTGCTACTACCCATGTGCCGTCATCAGAGGCTTACTATGAGACGTAAAGACTGAAGATAGATAGGTTTATCTGGCCGACAATATAGACAGTAACAGCACAATTTGCAATATCCCCGTAATCTAAAAGTACATTTTTATAAGACATGTAATCAGGTTGTAACGTATAACATAGATAACATTTTGCAGAAAGATGTTCCTTCGAGCCATCAAATGCACAAGGAGCATGCTTTCTAACAGATGATGGAGGCAATTGTAAACGTGAACAATTTAATATACAGAGTGGGTCTTCCATTCATATAAAATGTAAACAGGGATATACATTGTTTGTGTCAAAGAAAGAAGTTAAAGGTCAAAAAATAATAACTTGCAATAAAGGAAGCCATCCTGATTTCAGTTGTACTGCAAGTAAGCACAAATATTTTTTTAATATATATGAATAAGAGAACTAACATTTTGATGAAATTGAATTATGAATAGAAAAATAAAACATATTTCTGTATTCTCAATTTATATTTTCACTGATCTAGAAGATCCCTTTTAACAGCATTTGCAATTCATGTCACGGTGTTAGGCTCATGTAAAATACATGTATTATAATAAAAAGAAAGCTGTATGGTTGTTAAAAACATAAGCCTACCTTTTCTAATATTTCAGACGACTGTTCAGCTCCAGGAGTTAATAACACAGAGCCACTGTCAACATCTGTTTACAATCATAATGAAGAGGTAGTGGTTATTGCTTGTTTAAAAAAGGGGGAAAGGGGTCAGAGTTACTTGATTATTTTAACATGCTTTAATTAATTAGTATTGTAGTTTGTTACCTCAATTTAAGAGTCATTAGTCAACAGCGCCGACGCTTTTAAAATCCTATATTTGATGACACCGTAGAGAACACAGTTGTGTCATATGAAAATAAGCCCTTAACAGTTGATGCTCTGATTTTACAGGTAACATACAAATGCAACAAAGGATATTGGTTCAGCAAGAGTAAATTTGGGGAAAAAAAGATAATTTTCTTTAAGAGTACATGCAGTCTTGGTAATTGGACAAATCATATTCCAAGAACATGTGAACCAGGTAATTTCAGAAAATAGATAACAGAATATAACAACAAAAATAAGTAAAAAAAAAATGATATAATATCCGTCGAAGAAAAACAGCTCATAGATATAACTCAAACTAATAGTGGGAATCAAAAGCCTTTATGTACCAGAAATAATCCAACCTTGGGTTTATTTTTTAATACACGGCCGTCGCGAGTTTACATAACGAGTCCCTGAACCACTAGAGTTTACAATACGATTCGAATTCCTTGACACATTTTATAGATTTTGAGCACACAAGAAATTTTTCCGTAGACAACATTCGGTTTTAAAACGAAATCCAGGTATCAATCGAATATTAAAATTAACAGAAATATTATAGGAACTATTCAAATGCATCTAAAAAATATATATGAACTACCTTTGCTGGGAAACATACTTGCGACCACTTGTTTACAATGTCACAACAGTGCAGACTACTGACTGAACAAAATTCGTTTCAGAGGCGTTTAAAGTATGAATATAGGTATGCATTCACCCGAGTCAATTTTTGAATATTTGCTTGTGATTCACAGTGACAGGCCTTGTCAAAGTCACACTTAATAGAAACAAACAAAATCAGACCAACAAATTCTAGCCTGCATTTAACGCTATTTACAATCTTTAATCAGGTTTTATGTATTTCAGTTGCTTGCTTTCTAAACGTACAAGCCGGCACTGAGTACAGCATTTATGGCACCGGGAAAGATATCCTGAACTCTTCTTTCGTAGAAAATGGAACAAGTATTGGTGTAAGATGCAAGGACGGATTTGACCTATATGATGATGCAGATACATTGATAAACGATACAAACGTTGTACCTGAAGTGACATGCCACGTTGGAGAATGGTCTAATAAACACTGGTGCAAAGAAAGTAAGCTTTAACATACAATTCTCTTCAATTCATACACAATCGCGAATCTGGCAATATCGTTTTGCAGGTAATTATCACAGAAATATCTACGATTTACACTCTTTAATAATATCTGTACACAGTGTAAATGATTTTTTTCAGGCAATATTTTCTGGTGTTAAACCTTATTTAAACTTGTAAAAAATCAATATTGTAATGTTATTTCTCTGAATTCAGGATGTTACATACCGAACAGAGCGAATATCCAGTTCAGCAAAGATGGAGAAAACCTTACTATAAATGACACCATTAAACATATGGAAAGTGTAAGAAAAAAACATGTGTCTTACTACTACTTATCAATTCTTAATGTTCTCTTTCATTTTCATTGCCTTTTAAAGCTATTGTCGTCTCCTAGAGATTGCAAGTAGCAGCCAAATACTTTTTTTTATTAATTTTATGATAATTAAAATTGAGTTCGCTTTTGTTGATTTAGCTGATTGTTTTATATTCATTGTCTAGCATAATTGAAAACATAATAAATGAGATTAAGAGCGGTTGTTGTTTCATGATGAATTTATTTTACGTACATGACTGTTTACTCATTATTTGAAATGTTCTTACTGTAGGGGGTTTGAACAAACGGGATATATGTATAGATATATGTCTGTGTTTCTTCTTGTACAATTAACAAATTTGAAAATTTGACATAAATCAAAATGTATTTAACCTTGAATAGTATTTGAAGTCGCTGTCTGTAAATGATATATCAAATATCATGATCATTTTGAGCCTCTTCTTATCATTTATCAAATAAAGCATTTGTTTTATAAGTACATAGAAGATATTGAATGAGTGTAGGTTTAATACTAAATTTATTGAACGAGTTGAATAAAATCATATTATGCGAGCCTCTGGCGAGCATAATATTGTTTTATTCAACGAGTTCAATAAATTTAGTATTGAATCTACACGAATATAATATTCTATTTATCACATATATAAAATAAGAACGGTAAACTTTTAACAAAAGTCATTTTTCTTTGACGAGCCTATAGCGTAACGCTAATATTAGCGCGCTTTAACGCTATGTTTATAGTGCAAATGACGTGACGTCAAAGTGTTATTACACTAGTGTAATACTGTCTAGTGTAATATCGTTTTTATTAAATGGCTTTTTTACACTCCTGCGCCGCGGTTTATTTGATAAATATAATAATAACTGTTGAGTCCATATTTTATTTGTAAAATGTATCACAAAAGCATTCATTATGAGATTGAAGTTTGTGGAGATTGTTCCTAAAATAACTATGTCAAATTACGCAGCAATCGCTTTCTATAAAAAAATCTAAATATTTCTGCAGGTAAATATCACTTGTACAGGCGAACAAGGAACATTCAGTTCATTCATTAACTGTGAAAATGGTAAATTTGATCAACATGACAAGTGCACCTCTGGAAATGATTTAAAATCAAGCATATCCACTTCAACTATATCAACAGGTTATAAACTATTACCTTTCTTACAATTGTCAGTTATATATGCAAATACTTGTTCATGTTTTATGCTAAGTACTAATTTAAATTACCTTTAAGCTTTATCGTTTTCTGTGATTTGGTCACAGTGCCCACGAGTAACAGAAACCAGACACGAGATTGGCGATTTGGCTCTGAAATCAGTAACAAAATTGTTTTAACCAAATCTATTTAAAATGATTTACTCCATGTTTGTTCTAGTATGAATGTAAAAGTTTAGTTTTATCTAGATACATTGTATTTGCTCATTTTCGGTTGTGTGTATAAAACATGTTCATTTATAAACTCAAATAATATACCTCCATTTACTTTATGTATTTCAATTTCAACATCAAAAGCTTCCGCTGAGAATGTAAACAATCAACAACAAAATGTAAATGAGGCTCCCGATGACAGCTTAGCTGAAATGGAAGATTATTACGATCAAATTGAAGAACAAAGAAACAAATCAAAAGGTAAACATTTTTTCTTAACATAAAGGGAGCAATCTAAATTACATTGTACATGGATTTACAGTATTCAGAGCTTTTGTAGTGCCAAGTTTTAGTCGTCCGTTGTTGTCAACAATTTTTCTTACTTCAATTTCCTCCCAAATCATTTGACGGACATTGATCAAAGCTTGACAGGAATGATCTTTGAATATTATTTTGTCAAAAAGTATAGAAATGGTTCTTGTCTTTTGCAAAAGTAGGTATCAGACGCTTGAAATGGACTTTAAAAACAATATCTAAGAATCCTCTTTTCCCAAACTACAACGACCAGAGTTATGTTTGGCATTACGTATCAGCATTGTTGTCCTTTACAAAATTAAATAGATCTGGTCTCAGGGTATAATATGATCTGCCCAAGATGTAACTTAAGCTATATAGACGTGTATGGTAAAATATCTTAAATTCCTGCTGCACCTATTGGTCTTCCAGTTAAGTGATTAAAATTATGTCCAATTTCAAAATTGGGCCAACCCCGGAGACACTTATTTTATACCTTAAAACATTTTTTTCAGATATATAAGTTTGTGAGTTAATTAGATTCGCTAGTGTTTGTAGCCACAAACATTAACAAACGGAATTTGTCATTACAAGCAGACATTTCCAAAAGGGCCACCGCTGTTATGAATTACAGAAATATTTTTCTAATTTAATAATTGCAATTCTACAACTTGAGATTAACAAGCCTGATTTGTTGAGGATATGATTTTAAAACTTCATAAGATCTTGGGTCATAGTATGTTTTCTGATGTCTTTACTAAATGAATTATGATTTAATTAAATTCAAAGTGGTAATGACCCATATATTGTAAGACATACCACATGCTTAGCGTTGAACGCTTCTACAGTTGGAAATTAATCAATTTGTTAAACTGTCAATATTTGGTAATTAATCAATGATTGATTCTGTAAATATCAATGTAGTTATTTGAGGTTATAACGGCTAGATTGATATGATCATTATCGCTTAGTCCCCTTGACTGATATTCTTATATTATTGAATGATTGTTATAAGTTAGGGAAAAGGTCCTTATTACTGATAAGTGTGATACCTTTAATTCACATTTAAGAATATGAATGAATAGAAAACAATATATTCAGAAGTATTGTGTTTATTATATGCTGGGTTGTGTTTTTCTCAGTTTCAGTTATTAACAGTTTAATAGGTTCCTGTAGACTTCCTGAAATGGAAAATATGGCAAAGTTAAACACTCGAAGAACCCATTATGCTATTGGAGAAACAGTCCGCGATTTCACGTGTAGTCGTGGATATTTTTTATCATCCGATAAGGGAATGACATGCCAGAATAATGGAACATGGTCCGATGTAATCACGTGTGTAAAAGGTATTTGTGAAAATATGAATATGTGTCTTTTGAATTACAGGTATTGTAAAAAAAAAAGAACTAAAAAGAAAACCTTTAAAATATAGCATTTAAAATTGTATGATTTTTGTGACTACAAAGGCAATTATTATTGTGACAGTCTTATTGTTAATTAAAATATGTGTTACATAAGCTATCAAAATATGTTCTGACTATATTCATATACAAATATTGATCAATAGCATTGATGCAAAATATCAAAGGCGACGTCAAAACATATTTCTAGATAAAACGTATAAACAATTAGCAGCAATAAGTTTCAGTGTTCACTTCACTTTAATTCAATAAATAACAAAATTATAACCTGAAACTTTTGGCTGTAACTGACTTGGGATTTATACTTCAATTATTAATAGTACTGTAACAATTGGTCATCAATAAAAAGATAGACAAAATAATAGTGCTTATTAATAAATAGTGGGGTAAGATAAGGGTAAGATAAGACTAAATGCATATGTAGGCTGACCTTGATTTGTATTGATCAACTTTACACAACATGTTTAGCAGTTTAAAGATAATAATATCATTATGAGGAATAAAAACTAAGCCAATTTGTTATGTTAGTAATGGTTAATCAGTTTGTTTAGAAACCCTTGCACCTTAATCCTTAAATCTTGGTCAGAAAAAGTCTAGCTTTTAGTATAACCAATTAATCGAAAAAGGGATACACTGTTAAACTCAGCCAGCCATTTCATAAATATTTATATAAATATGACATGCTTTTCAAATTAATTAAAAAATAGAAATATAGTAACTTATTTCTTACTTGAATTTTAGGAACCAAAATAAATTCATTCACAGAAGGCGCGCAAACAATACATAAACTTTGAAAAGACTATTTCAAAAGGACATAGCAAATTAATGCATAGATTTTGACAAGGTTTTTATTATTACGTTATTCTTGTTGGACAGTGTAGTCAAGAGAGATTTAACTTTTTTTTTCATAATGTCTGTAGCGTTTAATAAGTTTAACTTGTTTTTTTCCCGCGGCGTCCAATTTGAGATACATATTATAGAAACATTGATAATTTTCAAATAAATCATTCAAGTTTTTCAACCTTAAATGGTAAAATATTTATAGAAAAATAGAAATATCACGTAATATTTTTTTGTTCTAATAAGATGTAATTCTTCCCAATTCCCTAGAGGTAAATCCGTCACGTATCGGCAAACCGTATTTAGCCAGGTTTTCGAAAGGGTCAATTTACCAATCATGTAAGGTTTACAGATCACGTGCTCCTCCATGTACCGAAAACAGGTCACGTGCTCCTCCATGCCTCAAAAGTTAGACGCGTACCAATACCCTGCGGTCTCCAGACCGCAGGGAATGAAGTGAAATAAGAATCCCTAAGAAAGCCCAACACGGCAAAATTGAAAATGTTGCAAGCTCGGTTTGATTGAGACTGTTCATAGACGATATTGTAAAGTGCAAACTACCATCCACGCCCTCCTAGCACCGGCTTAAGCAGAATTCAACATTTAACATGAACTGGTAAAATTTAGAATTTTGAAACATCCGCAGATATGTTCATATGTTTTTTATACATCCAGGATGCAATCTTTCTGATGATGAACGATACAAGTATTTGAACATGAACGGAGATGAAATCAAACCTGGAGATAATGTGAGTGCGTTAAATTAACTTAAAGTAATATGTCTCATCAATTCAATAATTAGTTTTAGACCTTTATAATTTTTAATGACATAATCATTAGAAGACTGGAAAAACGTTCGAATGTTAATATTATTTCTATAATAAGATCATTGTAGACATATCATTTTATCTGTTATATTATCTTCTGGTGAAGTTTTCTGGTGATGTTATCAGCACTATACATGTATTACACCAGATATTTTCTTCCATCAGTCTTAACGTTTACAATCTAGAACTCAAAATGAGAATATTGATTTTCAACTTATAAATAATATTTTACACGACATTTTTATTGTGTTTTTTTTCTTTCTTTCTTGTTATTCGCCTTTCACATGGGAAGAACGGGACGTGTTCTCTATGACGCAACCCTGTTGTTATTCAAAATATTCTTGTTATCTTATGGGGAGATTTAGAACCTTAATATAAAGCAATATGGAAATGTCTTAATAAACGTTTTATTTGAGGTCTATGTTGACAATGGTGGGTGTTGATGTTACTTTTAGTTACTAATAGATAGATTTATGAAGCTTAATCAACGACCTAAGTAAATAACAATATTGAGAATATGCATGCCCCTTTAATGAGTGGGTATTTACTTAAAAATGTCGTTAAAGCATATCAAAATATTTGACAATTGCAAAATATGAATTTTATGGATATTTAAAATTAGAAATTTTTTATTAAACTTAGTACTAGTACAAATATCAATATGCACCTTTTTCAAAACAAAGTTTTGATATGTAAACCAAGAGACTATAACTTGGTAATAGAGGTTTTCGCTAGATCAAAATTAGAATATTTTCATGAAACTTATAAGAGATATGAATGGTATATTAAAATTACACTAATTGTTAATTTGTGTGTTGATTTTACATTTCCGTTTATTATATATTTTAAGCGTTCAGTGCATTCGCTTTTTTAATTACTTTGGGAACAATATTTCATGAATTGAAATGACCAGGAAGTGACAAATCAAAAGTTCAATAATTACCGCCTTAGGAATGCATGTTTCTAATGTCTAAAACAAACCAAATGCTTCATAAGCAAATTGTTGTTTTGTATAAAACCGTGCTTTGATTTTGACCAATAGCTGTGGACAGTCGTAAACATGTAGACTCATTTATACTTTATTGTTTTAACTGTTTGAGTACTATTCATACTAGTGGTCAATACACCTATTTTTTAGCTTTAGGTAATATTTTGCGCATTTTATAACATATTAGTGCGACTGCCAAATTGTTTTAATAAATCAAATTATATGAAATATGTAATCGCGTGAATACAGGCGTTTAAATGCAAATAAAAAGGCATTATTACGTGAATGAATGCGTTATATCGCAAAGTGATAGTATGTATAATGCGGATAACAAAATGTTATATCGTGAACAAAATGCATAATTACTCAAAACCAAAACTAAAGGCGTCATAAAAATAAATAAAGGCATTATTCCTCGAAACAAATGCGTATTGAAACAAAAACAATGCGAATTACGCACATTTAAAGAGTTATAACGCAAACATAATAAGAAATAATGTTTATCAAATGACCTGTTAAAGCGAAAAAATAAGGTAATATCGATATTAAATTATTACTTACGATATACGGACGTCATGTTGTCAATTATCTACCGATATGTCCTAATGTTTGGACGTCCCTGATAGAATAGTTTGAGTCATTGACTTACCCCATACCGCTGTGGATTCGAATTTCCGATAGGGACTTGAGATTTGTCATGTTAGGAGGTTATCTTCCATGAATGTTGTTGTTTCTACTCAGTTGCTCGTTCATGTCAAATAACTGCACAGAGGGGTAGCTGAGGTCGTCCTCCACTAGTAAAGCTGGAAAGTTACCAAATGGCCTATATTATGTTGGTATTACGTACTGAGTATAACCCAGTCAAAAACAAAACAAAATCATGCCTCAGTTTTTAACTCTCATTTTGAGGTTCTTACACACAATCAATATGAAGGTCACTATTGCATTTACGTTTAATATACATTTGTAAAATATGAATATTCTATCACTCCATAAGACAAAATGTCTCCTTACCAGGACTATTCGCAATAACAGCATGTCAGTTTTGTACAACAGAATCCATTAAATGCTGCTTGAATTCTAATAAAAACAAATCACTACATAAAACCCATGATTCTGCCATACGTTCACAAACCCATACGACGACAAAAAATCTTTAACACTTGAAAGCCAATTTTGTCTCACCATTTATACAGTCATCATTAGATATATTATAAATTTCTTAAAGAGTGATATTGTCTGTTTGCGATAAAATAAGCCAAAACTTTATTTTCCGTAAAAATCTTGTAATGTATAAAGGATAACGAGCCAAATAACCATAGTCTGCTGCATTATATGTTTTCATTTAACATTTAGTATTCTTTTACCAAACTTAAGATGGAATCTTTCAATTTCTTTTGATTTACCATTCCCCCAAATTTCCGATGCATAGCAAAGAATTGATCCGATATACGTATCAAACAGCTGGCATAATATTTTGGTATTGAGTATATGCTTTTTACAATTGATAAGTAGAATATTTAATGTCTTTAAAGAGTTTGCTATTTTCTGTTCCTGATTTTAAGGAACCGTACCCGTGATAAGATTAAAAACAACTCCAAGGTAATTAAAGTTACAACCATTTCGAGTGTTTTTACCATTATACAAAAAGTCTTCATTAGATAACAACCCACCACGTTCTCTAAAACCCATTGCTGTAGTTTCATCATTATTACCATTAAATCTCCATTTTCACACAATATGAATAAAAGAAGATTTAAACTTTTTTAATCTGTTCCGGTGAATCACCCAAGATAATCATTTAAATTTATTTAAAGCAATATGACATCGCCGCATTAATCTAAATATATGTTTATAATATTTTTTAGAAGACAAAGTTCATCCCTATTTTCATGACGTTCCACTCTATAAAAGTTGTGTAAAGCATTTAAATATGTATATTTTGCATGCGCACATTCTTGGTCAAACCAAACCTTATTTTTATCATTAAATGTATTACCAATATTTTGTATTTATTTCAATAGCTTGTTGTTGGGGATACATTGACTCTGCAATGTAGATTCATTGACATGTATTCATACTTAACGTATGACTACGATTACATAGATGCTGATACCCCTGCTGATGATATAACAATTTCTTGCAAGGATGATCATACAATGACAAATATAGAAAAGGAATGTCCTGAAGGTTTGTCCTAAAGTTAAAATGTTTTTGTTAGATAGGTTAGGGAGTAGGGTAAGAAAGTTTTAAGGTATTCAATTTTAATGTTCTTTCATTACATGATGCTGCATAAATTGCAACAACACTAATAAAGAAAATGTGCATGATTTTAGGTAATCTGAACATGGAAGACTTACAGAGCAAATCCTTTCATAAAGTTATGCACTAGCGGGTCTTTAAGTAAATCCTTCAACATTAATGACCTAGTATGATAGCTTTCTAATCTAAATAAATGAATTTTATTGTTAAAAGTGAACACGAAGATTTTTAATAATATTTAAATAAAATGAACTTGATTTAGCCATACTATGAGTTGATTCAACCATAGACACTTATGTAGATTGTGTGTGTGTTTTTGTTTTTTGTTGGTTTTTTTTTAATTAATATTTCCATATATTACTTTAAAAAAAAGGCATTATTCTTGTGATTTATCTTTTGTAATTTAGAGCCAAAACATGACAAATGTTTAAAGGTTGTTAACGGAAATGTAAAAATATCAAACAGCTACTACGTTGTGTCCTGTGATAAGGGATTCTCATTAGATATTTTTGAGCCAGAGGAAAAAAGGAGCAATTGTATTGACGGGAAATTAAAAAGTGTAATCGGAGGTCAGGAACCAAAATGTATACCAGGTACATTTTATGTGTATTGTTGCACGAGGTCACCTTATCATTTTTTTTTCCTTTTAAGATTTTGACTATATTTAAAGAACCATAGAAGGGAGATTTTAAATGTGTTTACAGTTTTAGTACTGTGGCTTTTATAGCAAGAGTTCAAATTTAGGTTTAACATACTTTAAGTTTTGTTAATATTCAAAGTAATGAGTTTGATATACATAATCATTTTCAGCTCGATTATGTTGATATGTTTTGGTATTTGTTGTTTATTGCAAAGCCAAAACATTTCATTTGAAAGGTGATTTTTTGTATTTTAATACAATCATTTCGACGGTTGTAGAACAAAGATAATGAAATAATGTATTTGATATTTTTTTCATTTCATCGTTTTTGCAGATCGTTGTAAAGTACCGTATGAGTATGATACACGTCTGTCAATATATGACAAATTTCGTGTGAGTCTTTCCGGAGGTTCTGTTGTTGAGGTGGGGCACTTTGTTTACTTCAACTGTTCAAAGGCAGGAGATGATATGTACGAACCTGTAAATAGAAGATTCAAGTGTATAAACGGCCAGTGGATTGAGGATGAACGGGATAAATTATGGAAGTTTGGAAATAACGGGACTTTCCCGGAATGTAGAAAAAGTAAACACATTCCTTGATCAAAACAATTATTATTATTATTATTTAGCATATCTCAGGGCAAATTTTTGTATTTAGCAATATTGTGTATTGTTTTTTGGCAATCATTTATTTATCTTGAGGTAGTTATTGTGGAATATTGCATAGTTTGAGTGCGCAAGATATTTTGCTATCGTTGTCCATCCTAACATGCTTGTAGAAAAAATGTTTAACTACCTTCCTTAGTCTTCATTACGTCATTTTGTTTAATGACGTTACATGTTATATAATATTACTGGTAAGCATAATGCATATATCGTGTAATTGCAAAATCGACCGTCCTGTCCATTTATCAATGGGGTGTACTGTGAAGAGTGTTAAAATTAATTATACAGCACGTGAATAAATATTTCATCCATTTCTAGCTTAAGTAGTAATAAACTTCACACAACTGTCAATAATTATATTTGTATTTTATAAAGACTATTTGTAGATAACTTGATAAGCAGATCACCATTTCTAAATAGAAGTACTTATGCAAGGGTTTATCCTTCGGGGTTTGTTGTTGTTGTTGTTTGTGGATGTTGTTATTTTTGGTTTTCAATGAAGAAATATCCTTGTTTCCTTTTAACACAATCAGCTATATTTTTAAGCAGAAATTATGCATATAGTATAGCTTGTTAACCATATATCAGCTTAAGTTTCGCTTAAAACCACATTGGCGATTGGGGAAGGAATGCATTAGTCTAAATTTTTGTATATGTATATATCTTTTCTCAAACAGAAATGTAAGATACTACTTGGTTTCGTTTAAGATTTTCAAACAAGTGCAATTATCATAAAGTTCAAACAATAAAGAAAACAATAATTTAATTTATAAATGATTTCGTCTTTAATTCACGTCTACACGAATAAAACAAATAAAACGCCTATTTGATTTGCATTCGATTTGCATTTTCATTACTTTAAGCAATTATAACGTAGTTATTATATTAAAAGCAATAATTACGCAGTTATTGTGTTAAAATCACTTTTTGGTTTCATTGTATCTGTTTATGGGAGAAAGTGAAACAGAAGATATTTTTCACTTATATCGTAACAATGATTTTCTTTTATAGTACGTTTAGACATCTCACTTTTAATGCTTAAAGTATCACAATCGTTTGGAGCATTATGAAACTTCCATAGTTTAAAAATAGCCGAGTAAAAACTTGCAAAGATTTTCTAATCGATAACTTTACATCACTTGCAAGGCTGATTAAGAGCTATAAATGACCCTATAATTTTAAGGTTCAGTACGTCAAAAATCTAGGGCAGTCAACAACGCTTCTTTATTTGGTCAAGAGATATGAATTATTCATCAAAATAAGAGGACACACACATATATCTAACAAATAATCATTTCTATTTATGAAGAAAACTGTTTTTTTTTATCTCATTACATATATTATAAAAACGTAATTTGATGTTATTTAGCAATATGTGAACCGGAGTGTGAAATTGGAGGTGTTTGTTTGAGGGATGATGAATGTAAATGCAAGCATTTTACATCAGGGAAACATTGTGAAGACGGTAAATATAAGAATATCTTTTTTAAAAACAATTATATAAATCTTGACGAACATTCTACCCGGTAAAGCTCCTTTGTGTATGATATCCTTGTAGATTATGATATTATATTGATACTAAAACCTTTAAATATTGTTTTGTACGAATTCTTAATAATGCTAGCATGCAATGTGAACATTTGTGATTTATCGGTCTTTTCGAGGTATGGAATGTGTTCTTTTCGTTTCGAAATCGTAATATCTCAACACAATCAACCAAGTCGACATTTTGATTGATTTATAGCTCATTTGTATAGTGTGTTAACATGTTGTTTATTTCAATTTTTGACGTGTACTTTAAAAATTTAGTTCTATGTGATGATAAATGCAAAACTAATAATGGTGAATGCGTTGGTCCTGGCAAATGTAGATGCCCGCAGGGGAAATTCGGAACTAACTGTGAACTAAGTACGTATATATAGTATCAGCTAAGTTCTCTTATAGAAGCAAGTAAAAAATAAATTATGAAAGTCTAAAAGTATTAAATAAAATAATATAAAATACTTGAAAAGAGTAATTAAGCGAATCAAAAGGTATACAACGCGAAACGAATGGCGAAATAAGGCGAAAAAAGGATGATATCGAGAAACAAGATTGGTAATAACGCGAAACAAAATGCATTATTATAACGCGTGTAATGATCAAAAATCTCAGTAAACCCGAAACAAAAGTCGCGATAAAGCTAATTCGATACTATATCAATGCTAATCAAATGGCTTTGTAACGAAAGAAAAGATAACAATAAGATCTTAATTAATTGCTCAAGATATATGTGCTTCACATTTTCAATTATCTACGGATACGCCAAATTGTCTGAATTTATATCTCTTATCAGAAAATACTTACCCACTTAGAAGTTAACTGTCATCTATTTATAAGATAGTTTAATCTTACTTGAATAGTCGTTTAATAGTAACGTTAAAACATTAATGTTATTACTTAATTGCATTTACTGTGCAATTATTAGGGAAATAACACACATACACTCTGAGCTTAACTATGACCTTTTGAGTAAAATCAAGTTAATAAATAATTACTTGATATTATTACCTTATAACCTGATAAAATCTAATTAGTAATAACGTGATTTTGTCTCCTACTTAGGCTACAGGTACGTCATATCAGGGTGAACGTTTAACTTAATTATGTGAAAGTTACGCCTAAAATTGTTAGAGAGTTTAAGTAAAGCCATAATAAGGATACATAACTTCTGTGTCTGTTAGGTTGGTGATAGTATCTCTTTATAAAAGACAAAACAAAAACACACAGACCGTAACAGCAGATAACTTAATATAATTATGGTGCTAATCTATATCTTGAACAATTAATTCAGATCAGTATTGTTCTTTCTTTCTCATGTAACTAGGCCATTTGATAAACATTTATACGGTTTTGAATTTGCAAAATTATATATATATTATATATATATATATCTGTTATATGTTGCGGTTCGGATCGGATTATCCGTCCGGAGGGAACCAGCAAATTTGACCGTAACGAGAGACTTTTTTATCATTTCAATTCGAACCGATAAAATATGTGACATATTTATTCTTGCATATTCTACAATATTCCATTATATTTTGGTTCACGTTATAACGTTTTTTTGCGTGTTTATGCCTCTTCGTTCGCTTTGTAACATCGTTATTTGCGCTGTAAATAATTTTGTGTAGCGTAATAATGTAATTCGCTTCATGTAATTACGCCAGTTACACAATTTGCTTCCCTTTTTATAAACGTTATCACGCGCCTTATTTCCTTCACACGCCTGTTGTTTCGCGTTATTATCCCTTTTGATTTGTGTTATTACGCCTGTCGCAAGTGTTATCTTTCATAATAAATCAATGATTGAATATGTAAGTATTGAAGGTTTTAACGGCTAGGCTGATATGAGCAATGCGATGTTAATCTCTTACTCCGCTTGTCTGATATTATTTTATAATTGTATGATTTTAATGAGTTAAGAAAAATGTCCTGATTACTGAAAAGTGTGATATTTAAGAATATGAATACATAGAAAACAAACTATTCAGAAGTATTGTGTTTATAAAATGCTGTTGTCTTTTCACTACTTGGACGGAAATCAATCTCTGAAATGTTTATATATCACTTTTTAATAGTTTCCTGTAGACCTCCTGAAATTGAAAATATGGCGAAGTTAAACCCTTCAAGGACCCATTATGCTATTGGCGAAACAATTCGCGATTTGACATGCAATCATGGACATTTTTTATCATCCGATAAGGGAATGACATGCCAGAATAATGGAACATGGTCCGATGTTATAACGTGTGTAAAAGGTATTTGTGAAAATAAGCATATGTGTCTTTTCAATTACAGATATTGTAAAAAAAACAGAAAACGGTAAAAAGTAATACACATTGATAACAATTAAAATTGTATTATTTTTGAGAATACAAAGGCAATTATTATCCTGACAATCTTATTGTTAATAAGAATATGTTTTAGATTAGCTCTGAAAATATATTTTGACTATATCCATATACAAATGTTTATCATATCAATGTGAAGTTGTAGAAGTTCTTTTAATTAAATCTCAACATCAAGTTCAATTTTCATAAATCAACAACACAAAAAAATGTAAAATATGGAATGGCAACCACAACAGTCGTTTACATTCAAGTCAGTGCAGTATATTTATTGTGCGATTGTCAACTTATTTTCTCAATGACGCCTTCAACGCTCTAATGATAGTTCTAATGTTCTATCGTTAACATTTCGTTGAAAAGGGCATACTCATAAAACTAACCATATGCATTAATTATGTGGGACGCTACATTGTCCAAATTGCATATCAGTGATGTATTGTAAAAGCAGCGAATGGATAATAATAACTGATAAAGAACATCAGTGTTATTGGCGTAGACGTAAGCTTGCATTTGCAGTTGCGGCCTATGGACAGACTCAGCTAAATCTAGTCTAAGCCGAGTGGTTTACGTGTCGGACTAATAATCTAATGATGGCATAGGTAATAGCTGCATGGGTTTAAACCATGTCAGAGGCAGGTCGTTGCTTCCTTGAGCAAGAAACTTTACACTCATTAGTCAGTACTAGGTAGGTTTCAGGAACGGATTCGAAAGTTTGTCTATTAGCTTATAGCTTCCTTCACAACCGAACTAAAATTAATGATTCAAAATTAAACCTACTCTGTAACAATTTCAAGTTTTTGGGGTTCTTTAAGGATACTCGGTTTTATTGTTGTGTTGTTGTATTCTTTCACACCTCATACTGACAACTGTTCTTAGCAGGTCCAGAATGTCTAACTGTTGTCGTCGGCCGAGTTTACTCTTAACAGTTAAACCCGAGAGCTAGATATTTTCGTCGTTAACGACAACTAGTGCTTCATTCTTTTTTCTCGCATATTACATATACACATCTAAAAAAAGCATTGATGCAAATTATCTAAGGTGACGCCAAAACATATGTCTAGATGTAAAGTATTTAGTATTAGCAACAATAAGAGCCACTGTTCACTTCATCTTAGACTCAATAAACAAGAAAATAAAATTTACCCTTTAACTGTTTGTTGTTACTTATTTGGGCTTTGCACTTCTATTTTGAGTAGTACGGTAACCATTGATCACCAATAAGTAGATAGACTAAACTATTATTGCAGATTAAGATAAGACCTAATGCATATAAAGGCTGACCTTAATCTGTATTGATCAAGTGTACCCAACACGTTAAGCTGTGTAAGGATAATAGTTTAATTATGAGGAATATAAACTGAACTAATTTGTTATGTTAGTAATGGTTAAACAGTGTGTTAGGGTTTGATCTTTAATTCTTTTGCGGGTCAAAAACGAGGAAAATTGGGTATTGTATTAAAAAAAAATGAAAATGAGGAAATGCTTTTTAAATTTGAGCAAGAAATTTCATTAAAAAATATACATATACATTTTTTTAAAAAAAGTTAATAAATAAAATATAAACATATTTTCGTTTTTTTAAGATTCAAAAAAAATTTTTTTAACAAAACATAAATTTAAAAATGTAAAAAGGTAGCTCTATATGGCCAAAAAACCCACCCCAAAAGAACGACGCGTTCAAGGATTTGCAAAAAAAATTTGTAAAAAAAATTAGGGAAAACTGCAGTTTTATTTAAATAGTATTGGGTCAAAGATTTTTAAAGAAGCTATAAATTACGTTATCCATATCGGCGAAATGAAGTCATTTTTATGGCGCAATTCATTCAAAGAAAACACACAAAGAATTTTTAATCTAAAGTACACGACTCGTCTTTTATTGGCGAGGGCGGATCAAATAATATATGTTATATTTGATTGTTTAAAAATTTTCTATGGGGAATAAATTTGTTTTCTATCCGTACAGTTGCTCTAATAAATGAGTTGATTAGAGGTGTAACTGGTTAAATAAATCAATGTCATTGACATTCATGTATTCATAAGATTAAACTGAAAAAATAGTTTTCGGACATTCTGTCATAATAAGACGTTCATTATTGTTTTTATTTTACTATGTTTGAATAACATTTATTCACCATATTGTGACAACATTTAAAACGTATAATGACGCTATAGAATTTAAAGAAAAAAAAAACAAAAACAAAAAACGTGTCGCCTCTTACATGAATGTTATATTTCATTTAAAGTTAATAACCAAATTTGTTTGGGTTGAGAAAAATCATATTTCCCTTTTTAAAAAGGGGTATATACTAATCAGAGCGAAAACCCGGAAAACGTACCGGGGGCCCCAAATGCATGTAAATTTATTACTTTGTCCGGGTTGGGGGAAGGTAAAAAAAAAAACTTTGGGGGGATTTGAATTGGCGTGTCGAGAGATAAGAGAAAATTTGCCAAAGACATCGTTGTGGTAAATTAATTTATTTAATAAACATTTTTAAAAGTATTCTATTATAGATAGAACAAAATATTTTTTTTTCCCTAGATGTTGTTGATTCGAATAATGAGTTATACGCAACTAATTGTTAACCCTTGTCTGTCTTTCTGTTAATTCCGTCTGTTCTACCGGTTTGATATTTATGTAACAACTTATTTTGCAGATTTAAAAAAAAACAACAACAAAACTATAAGATGCGTCATCATTTCAATAAGTATACGATGCTTTTTAGCTCACCAGATCCGAAGGCTCAGGGTGAGTTATAAGTATCAAAGGGGGATGCTCCGGCGTCCGTTGTCCGTCGTCATGCGTCAACAATCGTCTTCTTCACTGAAACTACTAGGCAGATTTACTTCAAATTTGGTCCGTAGCATCCTTGTGACGGTCACACTTGAATTTGCTCATGTCATTCCAATTGGCTCCTTTTAGGGGTCAGCAGAGCTAAAAATAGGAAAACCTTTAAACGTATTCTCCTACAGAACTAATTGATGAATGATCACCAAACTTTGTCTGTAGCATTCTCATGAAGTCTTTTATCAAGTTTGCTCATATGAATTTGATAGGTCCCTTTTAGGGGTCTCTAGGGCTAAAAATAGAAAAACCTTTAAACGTCTTCTCCTACAGAACTAATTGATGGATGATCACCAAACATTGTCGGTAGCATTCTCGGGTAGTGTTTTATCAAGTTTGCTCATATGAATTTGATTGACCCCTTTTAAGGGCCGCAAAAGCTCAAAATAGAAATACCTTTAATTGTCTTTTTCTACAGAACTAATAGATGGATGATCACCAAACTTTGTCTGTAGCATTCTTAGGTAGTCTTTTATCAAGGTTGCTCATTTTAATTTGATTGGCCACTTTTAGGGGCCTCCAAAGCTAGAGATAGAAAAATCTTTGAAAATCATTTCCTACTGAAATCACCAAACTTTGTTTGTAGCACTCTTAGGTAGTCTTTTATCAAAGTTGCTCATATTTATTTGATTGGCCCATTTTAGGGGCAGCTTAAGCTAAAAATAGAAATACCTTTACAGAAGTAATGGATGGATGATCACCAAATTTTGTAAGTAGCATTCTTAGGTAGTATTTTATCAAGTTTGCTCATATTAATTTGATTGGCCCCTTAAAGGGGCCGCTAAAGCTAAATATAGAAAACATTTGAACATCATCTCCTACTAAAATATTTGATGGGTGATCACCAAACTTTGTATGTAGCATTCTTATGTAGTCTTTCATATTAATTTGATTGACCTTGTTTAGGCTAAAGCTTAAATGCCCCAGGTCATGGCATTTCTTCACATTATAGTTTAAAGATATTCTATGCTCAAATTTAATATTAGAAAAATATGGATTATAAAATAATCGTGTTTTGACTTAACACAAAGTTAAGTTATTCCCTGCGTGGAGACCGCAGGTTATTGGTACGCGTTTAACTTTTGAGGCATGGAGGAGCACGTGACCTGTTTTCGGTACATGGAGAGGCATGTGATCTGTAAACCGTACATGATTGGTTAATTGACATTTTCGAAAACCTGGCTAAATACCGTTTGCCGGTACGTTACGGATTTACCTCTAGGGAATTAGTCAGAATTACATCTAATTAAGAACAAAAAACTATGACGTGATGTTTCTAATTTTCTATTATCATTTTACCGTTAAATGTGGAAAAACTGGAATGATGTGCTTGCAAAATTATTAATGTTTCTTTAATATGTATCTCAAATTTTACAAACAATAAATTGTTTATACTGAAAATCTACAAAATTAAAATATTCGTAGTGGCATCTTCCATAATAGAGATATTTTCTGCGTAGTCTTGTGTGTTTCCTTTGTTTTTTGCTCGGAATAATTAATAAAATTGTAGGCCTATTTGATCATTTTCTTAAAAAGAAATAATTGTTTTATGTTCGACATTCTCCGGTCATCAACGGTCACCAGTTTCCAAAGACCTTCTTCTATATTGATCGATTATTGTCAACTATATTCCTGATACAAACGTTTATTTATCCCCCTCCAAATAATGTTGAAAATAGTTAAATGAAATATCTGTATATCATTAAAAATGTTCCCCGCAGGAAACCATTTTACTTGTGTAATGTTTGAAACTTTTCACACTATAGGTTGTCACAGTATCAATATAATGATAGTGTCATTAAAACACTTATGTTTTTTTGTTTTGTTTTTTTTATAGAAAAGACCAACTTTACTTGGCCTATAATAGGATATGCAGCTTCCCATACATAGTTTATTCATTCTTTTATCCAAATTAGACATTTTCAGTAAGAATTTAATAAATTTCAATAAATCTCTATGACTCAAAGATAGGTATAGGATATCTTTTCATAATGAAAGGGAAACAACTCATGTTGGAATGTACATATTTTATTCAATGTTTCCAATAGAGGTTCAATGGCTTGGAGAAAGTCTTAATGTCATGATCTGTTTATGATGTGTGAATATCTCACACCTCTAGAATTCGGACATCATATTGTAAGGTCAGTTGTAGGTCATTAACCAGGGGAAAATATAGGCCAAAAGAAACATTGAATTTGTGTCTCCAGTACCTTTTTAATAAAGATGAGTTTGTATGCTCATTTTTTTATTGAATTTTGTTAAAAATTGTATTTTTTTTTTGTTGAATCGGATTTAAGCTTGGAAAAAGCTTTTTTCAATAACCTGATTTTCATGTGCATACTTGAATTTTGGTATCAATGGAACTGTTTTTGATATTTTTGAAACCATTGTTACATACTTTCTTGTTTTTGATGTACAGAGACTTGAAATTTTGAATGATGTATAGAGACTTGATATTTTTGATATAATTTGACCTTCATTCTTGTGTTTTATGACATACAAACAAGAAATTTGGACTAGGGGTGTAATTTCTGATGCTGAATTGAATTTTGGTATCAACTGGCCTACTATTTGTATGTCTTACAATGTCTGACCTATTGTCTTTTTTTGAGGTACAATTATGTTACCATATAGAATGTATAAACATTTTGTTGTCCCAAGCTGTAAACTTTAAACATCTACACCTTACATGTTTAGCATGTGACATTTTGTGTTTTCATTCAAAAAAGTTATAAAAAATTGTCCAGTCAAAATTAATCCTGCTCTAGTGGTCATTTATTCTGCATTTATTCTGCATAGTCTCATAGGAACACACTTGCAACATACATATTTTTAACAAAACCTTTCCAAAATATTAGGGCAGAATATTTCAATTTATATTGTGAATAATGAAATGATGGGTTAAATGAGTGGTTTAGGGCCATCTCAGTGGCCCTATTGTTTATTATGAAGAAAAAAAGCTAAAACAACCAGTGTTGTGAAAGTACATTACTAGAGGGGCAAGTTAAAGTTGAGTTGAACTTGCCGAAAGAGCTGGACTTGCCTTTCAGCAACTTCTGTTGAAAAATAATTTCCAACACTGAAAAGCAGTTGTTTCTGGTGAGCGACTCAGGGCCATCATGGCCCTCTTGTTTAATATTATTTTGTATACAATTGGTTTTGAACATTGTATCTAATGGTCTTTGTTCCCAGTAATCATATTAAATACAGGTTCGGTTACATGCGGAGAAATTGTTATTAGCTGGTAATTTAACAGTAAAACCGATAACGTGGACCGACCACAGAGATATGACCAAACAAATGTTAAAAATCAGAATAAAAACAAACAAATATCCGAAATTGTGTATTTTACTGTTATTAATTACTTATTCAATTATAATTCCATTAAACAATACACGATAGTTAACATGATTGATTTGATTGGTTATAAATTTTAAAGATACAAAGTACATGGAATATCGATAAAAATGGTTTTACCTTAGTGATTTATTTAAGTTCGAAGGGGATATCAATTCGATGGATTCGCATCGTATGCATTCACATTCATTTTGTAATTTCAACCGAACACCTTGTCGATATTGTCAACATCAAGTGGCACATTCATTTTGTAATTTCAACCGAACACCTTGTCGATATTGTCAACATCAAGTGGGTTTTTTATTCTTTATAGATAGACAAGGTACACATTGGACATGATGGTGAATTTATTCTTCCTGCTTGGGACGTAGAATATATATCAATATATGTTGAACATATGGAAGAGTTTTATGTGTTTAGAAATAATCGGCGACAATGGGTGGAGAAAGACAATGATCTGACTTTGCACAGAGAAGGTAAAGGTTATACATTCAACTTGATAATGTTATAACTATTATGACATTCTGTAAGGAAGCCAACTTGTTATCCATTCTCTTTTTTATTGTCTTTAAATGTCTTCCACACATCTGACACCACCAATTATGTTTGTATAAGTTTTAACTTAAACGTAATTGAAACTTAAAGTATAATATATTTTAACGGCAATGAGGAATATCCTGTCTAATTTAGAGACGAAAATGCATTTCATTTCAGGAAATAAAACATGCATCAACTCATTTGATAAAGGACATTTGTGGTCTCTTAAATGGCAAGGTGTTCAGTATATACGAATTGCGGGGAAAATGTCGCTACGAACATGTAAACAGTCATGTGTAAACTGGAAGGACGAATCAACACAAATGCAATGTGTATCAGTGTATTATAATCATTATTATAAGGCATGCTCTGGTTTTACCTTTGACAACCACTTCTATCCTGTAGAACGTAACACATGGAATGGAAGGGTATATTTAAGAACATGTAAACATTATGACTTAGTGAAAAGGAAATTAATAGATCAAGTTTGACCTGAGTGTTCCATAAGAGGATTCTCATATCTTGATTCAATAATTGGTACGTTTTGAATTCGGTTGCAAAAGCTACAATTTTATATTTAAGGAAATTGTGTTTGTTTCTTAAACAATAAATTTTATTGCATTTATTACAATTTTATCTGAACTTGATAACAATAAAAATGAATATATATATATATTGACTTGTATTGTCTAATTTAAGATTAAAACACTACTGAAAAACATTTTATATATTGACGAGATGGAAAAAACTGACGTTGTGAGACTTAAGTAGAGAAGAACCACGAACGTCCGGTAAGCTAACTGGATACCTGATTGGATCACATGGAAATTTGAAAACGCTTGCGCGACGCTTAGAAGTGAACCCCACTCCAAACAATCCGCCATAAAAACAAAATTATAGCACTAATATTATAAATGTTAAAAGTCTTTTTATTGAAATAAAGATATTCACCATACTGTACTATTAAGAATTCTTATTCGTCAATGAAATTCTTGGTTTGAGTCCTGGCAGTGGCGTGGCGTACCGATTTTTCGTGTGATTTTTCTGTGTATAATTTCCAGGACATGACTTTCTTCTATTCAAATGTATAATTGACAGATATAAATGCTTTTCAGACTACATTTTAGATCACTTATTAGTTTCATAATTTATATATTTATAATTCCAATAAACAAAATTGACCCTCAAGGGCTCGGACATTAACAAAATTGAATTGCGCCGAAATCACTAATATAATATATACATCGAATACTTTATATTTTCAACATCAGACAAGTGACTGATACTAATTGAATAAATCAAATGTATCGTTTAAGGCATTTGACTTGTTTGTGTTGAAATCATCTGTATGTGATATATGTGTTCAGTGCCAAAACAATATAAAATATATTGTCAAACTATATTGACCTGGCACTTCACTTACTTTCGTAAATGTCTTGGATATACACTCGAACAAAAAATAAAATTAATATATCAATTTATTTGACTTTACACGTCAATGAGGTGGTGTGTATTGGTAAAGATCCCGGCCTACCGATCTGAAGGTCTCCGGTTCGATTCTTACACAGCACCATGTTATGAGAAGTTTTTTTGACACATTTTTTTTAAAATTTACCTTCATGATTTTTCTGAAACCAGTCTTCTACATTTGGTTTTAGGATACATTTTAAGTGTATTTATATATTTTATTTCGTTACATTATCTTTTAATAAAAGTACAGCACATTTATAATAATTATACAAATCAATGAACCGACTAGTCGATTTCACCGACAGTGTCGTTCCTACTGTTTTAAGAAAATGGCAATTTCAAAGTAAAAAAAAAAAATAATAAAAGTGACCGAACCAGGATTTTACGAGTTTACGTCTTTATTCCTGAAGTGAAAGACTTATAACGATTGCGCTAATACGAATTTTTATATAGACTATTTAGCAAATTCTTATCTACATTTATATCGATTTACAAATAGAGCGTTACGTTTACAGAAATTACCAACTATAGCGACAAATGCAAGAGTGCCAGGTCAATAGTGTTGGACTAAACTTTCTACCTTTGATTTTATGATCCTTTTCTTTAATAATCTACTAACAAAGCTATGGCAGTTGAACTTTATTCATAAATATAGTTTTTAAAAAAAATCCAATCACTGATACGATTTAAACATATCTCTGAGAGCCCCCCCCCCTCGTGAACTTAAGCGTTTTCTTTGGATTAAAATGTCGCTTCATGTGCTAGGCTAATGAGATGAAGTGTTGGCTTATGAAGGCCTTTACATGTAGTAAATGGTTTGAGAATATTGTACTGCTATTGCCCTTCTAGATAAAAACGTGTCAATTCATTAAAGTAAGTAACTTGAGATTGCTTTCAAGTATGTAGTAAAACAATAGTCAACTATGTTAACACGCATATGTATGCATTATGTGTCGGTCACATCTGCCTATTAAAATCATCTTAAATCATATTGCTAAAAAGATACATCGAACGCTAAACATTCTCTGAACAACTGCAAGAATCCCCTTTTTTAAAAGCAACTAACATTGTCATTGACAATGATGATTCCTTCATCAATAAATTAATAATAATATTAATAATAATAGTAATAACACAAACAAAAACAAAAGACGTTAAAATCATTCAAAATTATCGTGGAGGATGACACACATTTTAATGTGCAATAACGCAATAGGTGCCATTTGCTTAAAACTGTAGGAACGACACTGTCGGTGAAATCGACTAGTCGGTTCATTGATTTGTATAATAATTATAAATGCGCTGTACTTTTATTAAAAAATTATGTAACAAAATAAAAAATATGAAAATCTACTTGAAATGTATCCTAAAACCAGAAGAAGAAGACTGATTTCAGAATAATTTTGAAGGTAAATTAAAAAAAAATGTGTCAAAAAAACTCTCATAACATGGTGTTGTGTAAGAATCGAACCGGAGACCTTCAGATCGGTAGGCCGGGATCTTTACCAATACACAACACATCATTGACGTGTTAAGTTAAATATATTGATATATTAATTAGATTTTTGTGTTCTAATGAAGTGCAAGGTCAATATTGTTTGACAATATATTTTATTATGTTTTGGCACTGAACACATATATCACAAACAGATGTTTTAAACACAAACAAGTCAAATTCCTGAAACGATACATTTGATGTACTCAATTAGTATCAGTCACTTGTCTGGTGTTCAAAATATAATGTATTCGATGTATATATTATATTAGTGATTTCGGCGCAATTCAATAATATTAATGTCCGAGCCCCTGAGGGTCAATTTTGTTTTCTGGAATTATAAATATATTAAATTATGAGACAAAATAAAAACTGGCGTGTGCCACTTTTCACTTGACTGTTTTCCAAAGTTGTTATATCCGTTGTACGCCAAATGCAACAGGTCTAGTTTCAGTGCACTTCAATAGTATTACTGCGCAAACCCTGAGGATTAAGTATATTCAAAGATTCACCATTTTCATGTTTATACTTAAGTTATGTTACACTTTCCAGTACTGTCAATAAACAAGCTTAATCAAACCGAGCCTGGCGTTTTAAATCTAGCTGTTCCGTGCGTTTTTTTGGGATACTGGATTTGTTCCTGTGTTATTTCATAGAGACATGCTATTCTAAAACTCACCATTAGTTACACATTTCTCAATCTGAAGGCGTGATCAAAATATAACAGAATCACCAATAATTCCCTATAATAACAATATATCGTTTAGCAACAGTAGGGATAAATACATATTGAAACTGTGCACAAAACGTTTCTAAAATCTCTTCTTCACAGTATAAAGTCTTAAGAACTTTTCCCATAACATTTTAGAAATGGTTTTAAAATCGACATCCATGAACTAATAATTTGATTTCTTGTAATAATGTTGGCCATACATCAGATCAATTTAAATATGAAAGATAAATTTAACAAAAAAGAGAAATCTCCCTTTGAAAACTATCAGACAAGACCGGCAGATTTGTCTCCCTTAGAATAAGTAATAAAATAGAATTAATGCAAAAGTTAGATAACATACACCAATCTTGAAAATAAGCCACTATTACACATATATTTCTGAAACGAATGACAAATGACAAAAATGTCTAGATTCGAATACGAAAATATGAACCATGTAGAAAATGTTGCAGGTCAAGTCCTTTTGATAAGTATTATGAGTGCTCTTACATACTACGCACTTGAACACAGCTTAATTTAATCACATAAAAACCGGAAAGTCCTTGTGGAAACACTTTAATTTAAAACATTATTTGCGAATAAAGATAGATTTAGCGTTCTTTGAATGAAACAAAATGTCAGAAAATAAAAATTAAACTAAATTATTAAAGATGTGTTTCTGGCGGATATATGTATTACTGGTAAGTACATTATATCAATGGATAGTTAATTATCTTGATCATTATTTGATAAGATAATTGGGTTTTTTCTGCTTTATCTCATGTATATATTAATATGTGTGAATATATAAAAATATTTATTAACCGAAATTTATCCAAGAAAAACCAAAGTGTATTATTTTCGTTATTACAAGCTAAATACAAGTTTACTACAACTGTACTTGTTGCCAAGACAGCAACAGATGAAAAAGCTAGTTAAGTTAATTGGCCAATGATTTTTCAATGTATTTTACGATACTATAAAATTACACCAAAAATAATTTTTAGAAATAAAAGTGAAAACATATCCTAGTCATAATAGTCATAATGTGCATTTAACTACTCACTTATGTGTGAATGCATTAATTCTTCAACACAAGATTAACTATTTAATACAAACAAGCTGTCATTTTCTTAAAGTATTTAAGCCTCTCATTGCCCTCTTAAACGCATCATTTCAGCAGCGTATGCAACGTTAACGTGGCGGTAATGAAAGAAAAGATTGATAAGAAAAAATAATTATAATAACCTTAAGACAATTGCAGGATAACCATTCAGTAGGAATGGAAAACACATCAAAATCTAATCTGAATTATTCGTCTCACTGAATGAATGCATAATTTCGTCTTATATTGTTATTGAAGGTAATTATAACAATTTGGAACCAAGGTGTGAATGGAGATATTTCAATTGACCAAATATTGGCTGAAAATAATGATAATAAAGGTATGTAACTTATTACAATATCACCTGAATGAATATGAATAATGCAAATATAGAATAAAAAAGTAACCCTTGGTTTTTAATAAATTTCGTCATTTATTGTCATTCTGACAAATATTAATTATGCCCTAAGTGCATTGAAATAGGCTAGTATTAAAGGACTACAAAAAGGAGTAGCATAGAGATGTTTCATCAGTTATTTGATTAAAAAATAAAAGTTCATTCATCTTTAAAGCAAGCATGTTTAGAACAATGATAAGCTTTTACTTGAAATTAAACATTTAATAATATTATTATAATAATATTCTGAGGATCCAAAGTTTGATTCGGATCAAGCGGCACATTTGTCTTACCCTGTGATATTTGGTGCAAACTGTAATAAAAAGCTTATAAGAAGTATACTCTGTTATTCATGAAATGAATTGTGGAAAAAAATCAGTGTGGTAGGGATGTCAAAGTATATTAAGCGGGAGAAGATATGTAATTAAGAAACCTTATATCTCAATTGGTAGAGCTGTGGAATGGTATTCAATGCATGACAGGTTTGAGCTCCAATGAGGCTACACTTTAAGTGTTCCAGTGAAAAAGACAAATTTCAATATGATGGGATTATGTCAATGTTTAGATGAGAGAAAATGTTTGAGCTGTAGACCTGCAGTATGGTATTCCAAGGGTTCTGGGTTTTTTTGGTAGTGCTGAGGTATGGTACATGTATTCTGATGGTCTCTGGATTGACTCTTAGTCAGGCTGCATTTTTCCTCACCCTAGTTGTATTATTAATAAGTACTTCTTCCATATATAAATGATTTATAATGTTTTATGTCAATATTGATGAATATTTAATTATTGTCTATGTGAGTTTATTTTTGATAAAACATTGTAACAGTACAACTTCTTAATTTGACCATTTTTGTATGAAGGAAAGAAGCCCTTAATTAACTCCTCACTAGTGAGTTTTAAGCTGCGGTCTCACTAATACTCCCAGCAGAGCCCAGGACCACTGCGATAAGTTACCGGGATGATCCTGGAAAATCCGGGTTTGAATTATTGTTGCGGTCACACTAATCGCGACAGCACTACTAACCATCCAGAATGTGCTCCGGACCATCTAGGCAGGGCCCAGGTGAAGCTATGGTTCATGCCGGTGCTTCACTGGTCGTTCCCGGATGACGCCGAAAGAGCCCCGGTTGATCCAGGCAGAGCCCCGGCAGAGACAAAGACGATTCAGGCAGAGCCCTGGTAGATCCCCGGTGGATTGTAACCACGCAAAAATGATAACATTGATACATAATTTTTATTTAATATAATATCTATTGTTTTAGAACAGTAATTCATGATTTTCTGAAACATCCTTAAGAAGGGAAATGGGAAGGGTTTTAATCCAAACAAGTGCAATCATCGCAAATTGTCGTGATTCTTTTGAAATAAACGGGGCTTTGCCGGGGCTCTACCGGGATCAATTGTAGCTCCATTGTCATCCTCCAGGGCACTGCCGGCATCCTCCAGGGCTCTGCCGGCAACCTCCGGGGCTCTGCCGGCATTCACAAGGGCTCTGTTACACGGTGTAACCCCGGTCATTCCCGGCAGAGCTAAGGATGAAGCCGGCAAAGCTATACATCCCGGGTTATCCAGATTTTAAATATTTTATTCCTTCCGGGGTCGAATACCGGATGTTCCCGGATAATCCCGGACGTTGCCTGCAGAGTTACGGATGTACGATGATTGTTTGAGGTCGTAACCCGATCGTTCCCGGATCAACCCGGACGTCTACCGGGTCTCTGCCGGGATGTCAGTGTGACTGTAGCTTTATCCTGCATGATGGTGATAGCTTGAAATAATTATTATTAAAATGCAAAATAAATAATTAGACAGACATTTTCCACTTTGGGATTGTAAAAAAAATAATTCTCATGAGACAGGGTGGTCTGTACCAAGACAGAGGCGGACCGGATGTCAAAACAGGGTAACAGGGAGGGCACTGTGATGTTCAGCCCCCCCCCCCCTACTCAGTAAGGAAGTGCACTCAAGGTCCTGGTCTTCAATTTCTTCATTTATATAGTTCGAGTAGAGGGGACAGAAATATTACTGGCAAGTGTATGGTATCACAAAAAGCACAGACTGTAATATTGTTTGTGTAAAATAATACTATAATCTGAATTCAAAGAGAACATAAAAGAAATTTATTAATTTCTTTATAGTACACATAAAGATATTAGGCATTTTATTTTGATATATAGAATAGTGTGTACTTTATGGTGCAATCTTTTAGTAAATCCACATGCTTCAAAAGTGATTCAATAACCTTTGGATTCCCACGCTCCTCCAACCGAGCTACAATGAGGTCCACGAGGTTGACCATATCATGCGTCTTACCTCATATTGTTTGATTACAGCTTGGCATGAAAAATAAAAGTTTATGTTATTGTAATCTTATTGTCTTGAAAATGTGTGATTGCTGGTCTGATGAATGTAGATGCTGCAATGGCATATAGCGATTTACATGTGTATGGGAACGTGCGAGTGTGTGCGTGCATGTGTGCATGCGCGCGCATGTGTGCGTGCGTGCGCGCGTGTGTGTGTTTTATAGATTATATAGTGAACTTAAAACATCTTCTAGTGAAAAACATCTTGTCCAATTTCAACCAAACTTCGCAGGATTGTTCCATGGGTGAAGGGTTTTCAAAATTGTTCAAAATATAATGCTGGACATCAAACATCGTCAATAAAGGCAATATTTTCGATTTTTTTTTTTAAAACTTTGTTTAATGAAATGAAAATATATTTTTTTAATAGTTTTTTATCTGTAATAAGTTAATTTATTTACTTATACCGCTTGATAAGTTTTATGATCTCCACATTTAGGACCGAGGACCTGACAATGTCCGGAAGATAAAAATAATGAGTCATTCAAAAATAGTAACATGATATCATTCTTCATCAAAAATCCAATATTATAATAGCCAACCACCATACGCATAACGTGAGGTAAACCATACGCATACGTGGGACGTGGGATTAACCCTCTTTTGATGACACCTGCGATGGGGCTGATGAAATAGCTCTTGGTGAATTGTCTGGACTAAAAAAATATCGGTGACTCTTGGGAAAAAATCACGAGTTAACTCATTCTTTTCATTTATGAGTTGGACATTGGAGGAAACACATCGCGTAAGCATTTTTTTTTGTGACATGAAGTGTAATCATTCGGGCGTTAAATCTTTAGTATTTCCGTATAAAGTCATACACGAAGTAATTTAGAAGATATAAAACATCGCGTAAAATTGAGATGCTGATATCAAAAAAAAAAGAAGAAATAAATATATATATACACTTAACGTGTAAAGCTTAAGAGGAAACAATCATTCATGCAGAACATTGTCGATATCTTCATTACCAGCGGTCGTAGCATAGTAAAGTTGGATATCAAACGAAAAGTTTTATGAACGTTCTAACGAGCGCTTATGGTCGATTGTACATAAACCACACGTGCTTAAAAACGTATTTTCCCCCGACTAGAGCTAAGTCCCTGATACTCAATGGACGCGAACAAGCTCTAGATCGAGTTCACAAGTCAGCTCTGTATGCGTACAGGAGATCTAAAAATAAAACGATGATGTCATTTTTTAACAATTAAGTCCAAATGCACCGCGCACCTACTGACAAATATAGACGCCAGAAGTAACATTTACTCAGATGGCCGCCACGCATGCGCAGAACGTGATTTCATCTGGATTTTAAACGTTGTACACTTGTTCACCATCATATCCCACTCTCTTCACTTTAGAAGGTAACTCTAGCAATAATCTTTACATAATTGTACCACATTTTCGACTTAAAATATACGTTAACGATTGCACAAAATCTCAGATAATCAATCGACATATGGCTTTGAGACTTGTGAGAATTATTTATTACACCAAGCCGTATCAAACGTTATCGTTTTGTAAGTATGTCCGTTTATTCGAAATCTGACCTTCGTGCGGAGAAGAATACTGTCACCAATATCATTTATCTATTCAAAAAGTGATCCCTTTTCTATGTACATATATTAACTGCAGCCTCAGACACTCTGTTCAAGACATAATATGCACCAATTGTCTCTGAAACCTGTTAAATATTGGCCCTGGTCAGATTTCGAGTGAAAAATTATCACTTTATCGTAAAAATCTGACTAAAATTCAGATCTACGTATTTTCCCATGTAGATCTGATGACAACCTTATATGTTTCGCCTTCTTTATCATTCGGATTTCCCGAGAAAGCTTTATTAGCCAAGCAATCAAACCGGTTTTTACAAATAGACATCAAAATACCGTTATCCTAGGAATTATACAAATTGTTGATTTTTGTAATAAAATCATGTTTGAAGTAATTTTTAACATATTAACCTGAAATCAGACAACCAAGACTGTGTTGCCAGATTACCTGTCGGCTATATGGACAACGTCATGTTTGTTTTCGAAATGATGAAAATTACTATAGTCGATTCCGCTTATAGCATCCTCAATGGGACATTTAAATATCGTTGGTTTTATCCAAAATTCGCTTAAACCGAAGTAGCAGCAACTTGCTGACTTGTTTGGGTTGATAAATTTGCCGTGCGAAAGCCAAACTTTTCACTAATCACAGGTGTAATCGGTATTTTACGGTAGCGGTAGTTCATTTCGTGGTATTTGTTTGAACAATGTGCACGTATTTAGACTTTTAAGTGCTATCAATTTTATTATTTTGCTATTTGTGTTTTATTTTTTGGTTAAAATTGCATACAAAAACACCGAGTGTTTGGTAATTATCGGGTATTTAGAGCAATTTATAAACTGAAGGTGGGAAATACAAACTTACCTCAACAAGGAAATTATGTTGTGAGAACATTTTAGCATAACCTTCATACTTTCTCGTACCTGTACAATCATTTGATTAAAAATTATCGTATAGTGGGGATTCCTCGGGTTGGTGGTTTATGTGATTGTATTGCATTGCACCTATTTGTCACTTTCCACTGTTTTGGATATAACAAAAGATACCCAGAGAGTTTGTTTGATCCAGCCAAATGCATGACCGTATTTAATTAATTGTATTAAGAGGGAGACAGGACAAATGTCACCAACTAACCACTGTTTAAACAACTCTGAAGATATTAAATAAATCCTATAATCTTAAAATAATAGAAAAATGCACAAAACCGGACAAGGTGTCAAATGCAAGACTTAAAACAAGATACGAACGCAAAGACTGGTTCAATGATGGAGATAAAGTAATATATAGGTGTCAACCTGGATATACAATGGAAGGTACAGGAAAGCAAAGGTGGTGCCGAACAGGAAACTGGACGGGCGTTCTCTTTACATGCAATCGTACGTAAGAACGTTCATTCTTAAACTTTTTTCATTAACTGCTAACTTATTACTGTGAGGAGTTTAAATAGTAATGCCACCTCTAAGTAATGGTTGTTTTATGTGACAAAGCTTGGAAAAATTCATATTATAGAAAGCCATGGCGGAACCACTTATGTTAATTTGTGCGCACAACTTGGAATGTTTTCAAAGTCCATATATATATGGCTTTGAAACTTTGCAAACTTGTTTATCCTCAGATGTTCACCATCATTATGAGAATATACGAGCATGCTATCCCACAGATATCTTTTGTTAAGTTGCATGCCGTATTTTCGGCACAAATGTTGAAAAGATTTATCTGTTCCTCAATCATGTTAGGTATAGATTTACCTAGCCTACTTCGTAAGACTACTGTCACATATGTTATATATCTATTCAAATTGCGATCCCTCTTCTATGCACATGTATTTACTGCAGCCTAAGATACTCGTTATAAGACACAATTGTCCTCCATTGTTACTAAAACCTGTAAAATACTGACTCTGATCAGATTTCGAGAGAAAAATGATTTTTTTATCATAAAATACTGACTAAGTTAAAGTATACATTATGAAAGCTTATGAAGCTTATTTACAGCACTCTAAAGTTTGTTTTTCCGAACCGGTGTCACATGAAGAAATAGTAGGACTCAAACTCATGATCATTGGGTTGAGAGAGAAGAGGCACCTTAACCACTCGACCACCGTTTCCCTAGAAATATCAATGTTGATTTTATCAATCTGTTATGCATTGTACTTGTTTTTTTTTTGCTATTGATGCATCACATGTTTTGTAGAAATTATCGACAAGAAGTAAACATGTTTTCGTGCTTGTCTAGTAAATTTAAACCTTTGTTTGTATGTTAAGAGTATTCCACTAATGACAGGTGAGTTTAAGATAAAAAAAATCAGACTTGAAATTAAGTCCCGATTCAATTAGAAAAGGAAAGTTTAATGTTTCTATTTTGTTCATTTCTTTATAACAAATCGTCATTCTTATCTCGTATGTATATTGATTATTATTCAAGGTGACGGGGTGCGATGGGTCACCATACTTCTTAAGGGCCATTGTTCTTCGTTAAGTGGGGGTATCATAATACTTTGACCAGTGGGGTTTATGATTTTATGATCGGGGAGTCTATATTCCTTAACTAAATATTGACCGGGAGACATACTTCTATGGGAGGGGCGGGGGACTTTCCTTCGTCTGGATTTCAATCCTGAATACGCCTTTATCCTCTACAGCGCCAAATTGTCTCTGTAGCATATAAGTAGTCTGTTTACTAACAAGAAATTGGCGGCCATAATTAATTTACATTATCAAATAATTTTATCAGATGCTGAAAAATGGATGAATAAAAATACCTATATTCTCAACAGTAGACGGAATACTAACTCTTACAAATTTCACAATATTTCCCGGGACATCGAGTTCTTTGCTGCACGATATATCTGTTTACATGAAATATGACGTTATATATGACGTAATTGAACCAAATGACTCCAAGGAAATAAGTTCTGCGCCTAATGAAGTCAATTATACTTTTAACATTTTAGAATGGATATTAATATGTTTTGTCTTGCATTATAGTATGATCAATGCACTATTAATCATTCAAATGATTTGTTATTTATCACTCAGTATTTTCGGTATTATATTTCTGCTTTTGAACTATTATCCAAGAATACACTCAGAATTATTATGTATTTCCTAAGTATATAATGCAAGAGCATAAAATAGAACAATAGTTCAGAATATAACCACCGTAAAGTGCAAATTATGGTCGAAACAAACAATACAACAAGTAAACGGAACAACATATCTGATAAAATGTTATTTAGAACGACACGGTCATATTGCACGTTTGGCGTCTTTATTGTAAAAATCTGCGTTATATACACACTCCTTCGTTTCGGAATAGACACGATGGGTGGTATAGATTACTAAATCTTTAAGCGTTAACAATCGAATGACAATAAAAAGAGGTAAATATAAGCAACCATACCAAGCCATTTTCTTCAAGTTGTGTGCACATATCATTTTATCGTTTACGTAACAAATGATAAGTATTATTTTACATTCTTTTTAATTTAAATGTTGAAAAATATTAATGAAATTAAATGCCGTTTTTTTTTAATTATTTGCATTTTTACTATAAAACTATATTTTCCTAGAGTGAAATTTCGCGTTTTTTTCACTGATGTTTTGTTGGACTGTTTCATTCTAAATTAAGTTTGTGCACAGACTTGAAGGAAAAATCTTCTAAATTGTGATGTTAAAAGAGAAAAAATGTATATAATAAACATAACAATTTTGTATTTTAAGTGTTTTGTTTTCATAACTACAGTACTGTAATAACTTTCATCTTGGTGTATGAAAATTTTCATATTTCAGTCGTGGCTACCACCACTCATAAAATATTTATGCTAATGCTACGCGATGAAAAAAAAAAATTAACATACACATATTGTTGTGGCTTCCTCGGCTTTGTGATTAATTTGTTTGTATTTCACTCAATTGTAATTTACTACTGTTTTGGATAATTATGACAAAAAAATACCTAGCGAGTTTGTTTGATCTAGCGAAATGCGTTGTCGTATTTGATTAAATATATTAAGAGGGAGATAGGGCAATGGTACTAGTTGTTTTAACAATCATGAAGATATTAAATAGAGCTTATAATTTTTAAATTATAGAAAAATGCACAAAACCGGACAATGTTTTAAATGCAGAACTTAAAACGAAATACAAGCGTAAAGAAAGGTTCAATGATGGGGATAGTGTAGAATACAAATGTCAACCTGGTTACACAAAAGAAGGTACAACAAGGAAAAGATGGTGCCGAAAAGGAAAATGGACGGGCGTTCGCTTTTCATGCAATCGTAAGTAAGAACTATCATTCTTTTAAACATTTTAAAGTCTTCATTTGGGCACGATTGTCTTCATTAACTACATTTTTACTGTAAGTAAGGAATTAAAATAGCAATATAACCTCTACTGGACGGTTGGTTTTTGCTGTAAGAAAGCTAGAAAAAGTCACATTATTATTCAGTATCATGTACCTTTAAAAGTAGTGAAATTTTATTATAAAATAAGAATATAATACTAGTAGTACAATTATAATTTTCTATTAATATGTAGCTAAAATTCAAAAAGATTTGCGACACACCTGTTTCTTCTAAAATGTATGATAATAACAGTCGTTGGATACAATTGAACAGAGGCAACTGTTCAATGTTCTTCTTAAGTAATTGACTTGAGAGAGAATCAGTCAATTTTTCTTCTTCCTTGTTCATTGCATGATTCGCCTCAAGGTTTATTCTGATTTTACGTGGACTTATGAATTGTTTAAATCAGTTTATGTATTGTCATGTGCAAAATGGTTTTCCTATTTGTTTTAACCGGTATTTTTAGCACTTTCTGTCAAATCTTACCTTTTACATTAAATTTATACGCAGCTTTTGATTAGCTATAAATCAGTTCAAAGTTTATCGTAAGATTTCGTTAGATCAAAAAATGGTTTATTACAGATAACAGAAATTGTATTTTACATGTCAAATATGAGTTCACACTAAAACTGACACAAAGTGCACTTAATGTGCACTAGATGTGCACTACTAGCATTTTAAAGTGCACTTGGTGTGCATTCTGAAGTTCACTTCATAATTACACTGTGAAGTGCACTAGTCCTATTATATGTATTGAGCAGTTACATTTTATTTCAAGAAATAACAATTAGACTTTTACACACACAAAAAGAATTTGAACTTGTAAATTTTGGATTTTGTAAAATATGTTGTAAAATATTAAAGCAATATCTTTTAAAAGTCATCAATTTTACTGATTTTGTATTTTAATACTTTATTGTTATAATAAGTAAATATAAATAAGTGCAAAAATAATCAAAATTAATTGATATTTAATATGATTTTATTGTATCATAATCTGGTAATATGCTAATTTGGCAAAAATCAGTCATGTTTTTGGTTGTTTTAGTACAAGGTTATGATTTTAAGCATGAAAAGCCTTTATTACATTATAAAATTAATATGTTTAATATGTTTATAATTGGCCTAAATTATGTAAATGTAATGTTTCAACATAATTTGTTCACGATTCTAACTTCATGAATTCATGATTTCAACTTCACGAATTCCCGATTTCAGCTTACGAATGCACGATTTCAACTTCATAAAACGAAATCTTGATTTTGTGAAGTTGAATTCGTGAATCTGTAAAGTCGAAATTGTGAATTTACGAAGTTGATTCCATGAAGTTGAAATTGTGAATTCGCGAAGTTGACATTGTGAGTTCATGAAGTTGAAATCGGAAACTTATGAAGTTGAATCGGGAATTCATGAAGTTGAAATCGGGAATTATTGAGGTTGTAATCGTGAAATCACGAAGTTGTTATCGTGAATTCAATTCGTGAAGTAAAAATCGGGAATTCATGAAGCTCAAATCATGAATTCGTGAATATCGTATTTTGAAAATGTGATTTCACGAAAGTAAAAGATGAAATCGTGAAATCTTGAAATTGAAATGGCCCTACCGGTCTTTCGTACATATGACACCGTAATGTTGTATAATACTTACTTCTGAGTATCATCATTTTAGCGATTTAAGGCGAAGAAGTCGCGCCTTATGAAATATATCATTCCTTCATAAACCATATGCACCAACCATTGTGTAATATGGAAATAGTTGTAATACCTTACGAAAATGATCAAGTCATGGCTGTCCTCAAGCCAATCACTTAATTGGTGATAAAACAAACAAGTATATGTTCTTAATATGTTCCTACATTTATTGAAAGTGAATAAAGTTATGTTCTTATCGCATCTAAGGGTTTTGTTTGCGTGCCTGTCTGGCCGTCTAAATAACACTCAGATATTCTATATTTGCAGCTGATCAGCCGTACCGGCAATCGACACTTAATCAAGATTTGAAGGTAAGCATATAAGGTAGGGAAATTTAAAGTAGTATATGGGTCTCATTAACGTCACGTACAGCCATATTAAGTGCATTTACATGTTCAGAAGCCATTTGATATGCCAGCTCGGACTTAAAAATAAAATACATCTGCTATTACTGCAGATGTTCAGAAGGGATCAAAGGATGCATTGGCTTTCTATTGTAAATAAATAAATAAATCCATAGATTAATAAAATAAATGAATGAATAAATAAATAAATAAAATAAATAAATAAAAAAATAAGTAAATAAGGAAAGAATAGATTAATTAGATAAATGAAATACATGTTACAATTTACAACGCATGTTCGTAAATTTTTATCTCAAATTGCTCTAACAGCTGATTAAAGTTTCAGGATAAGCTTTTCATGGTATATTTACTGCTGTAAATATTTCAATCTTGTGTCAGAAAACCAGAAAATGTTTCATACTCGGAATCCTTACCTTTTTCAGAAACATTGTACTGATACTAATTTTGCGGAATTTCTCCATTCTTTTGATTTAAGATAAAAACCACAACCTGTTGTGATTTGAAAGAACGTCATTTCTCCTTCAGATTATCTAATACAAACGAATAAATTTGTATACCTCAAATAAAAATTAAGATTTTGTTTTGTGGTATTTACAGGCCTGCTTTTAGTCCGGGACATGTAATTTATTACATTGTGTCCCAGATCAAACTGACCAACAATATTTAGTTCTTTAGCATGATTCGGAAGAAATGTTTAATGTTGAAAAAAGGTTTGGGATGGATTCATTTAAAGCCCTTCCTTGTTGATCTTGTTTTTTTTCTTCTTATTTTACCTACTTTGTTTCCTTATCTCTATATATGTTCATAAGACCTAAACCAGATAGTTTCATAGAGTCATAAAAAATCCAAAATACGTTTTATTTTCTCTTCACTGTGTTAAATAGACCGTTTCGCTGTAACTGTAGACCCTGACATAGTGAGCAGAACTACTATACAACAACGAACATAAGGGTAGTATCTCATTTTATTCAGTTTTTAAGTGATTGCAATACTATGAACGGGTTCATGACAAGTGCACTGTGGGCAAACAATGGGTCATAATATAAACAAATTAAGCAACTGAAGATTAGCACGTTAATGCCATTTCATCTAATATGTCACACGCACTGCAATTTCGTTTTATCGTTGCAAATCCTGTAAATAAGAAAAGTATAAGCCAACTTCTGAAAGTATCTTACAGTTATTAAATATCTAAATGGTGTTTACACGATTAATTGAAAATAATACGACAATACCCTCAACAGAGCTTTCTTACGATTGTAAGAAGACACTTTAAAACAGCTGTTACCTTCAACCTTGATAAAGTGCAACTAAAGTATAATGTGTCCTGCTTGTTAAATGACATCTTTTGGCACAAGATTTTTTTAATAAAATTGTTTTGTTTTTTGTGGTTCATTATTATTTGGATAGACCAAAAAGCGAGATTTTACATTATCGCATGAAACATTCTCGAATGAAAAAAAAATTCGCATTTTGTCTTGTAGAACTGTACAGTACCAGTGACCAAAGCGAAAATTATTGATACTATCGCTACTTACCTTTATTTTACCTCATAAAATCAAAGGCAGGACGTTTTGTCCAACAATATTGACATGGCACTCTTGCATTTGACTCTATACAACAGTCTTGATTATTGTCTCAAAAGATTAGTGTGTGTTTTATTCTGCTTTATCTCATGTATATATTAAAATGTGTGGAAATATAAACAAGAGTTTATAACCGAAATTTATCCAAGAAAACCCAAAGTGTATTATTATCGTTATTACAAGTTAAATACAAGTTTACTACAATTGTACTTATTGCCAAAACAGCAACTGATGAAATCTTGTTCAGTTAATTGGCCAATGATTTTTCAATGTATTTTTGGATACTATAAAATTACATCAGAAAAACTTTTTAGAAATAAAGTGAAAACATATCTAAGTCATTATAGGCATTTAATGCATTAATTCTTCAACACATCCTGCAAAATATCAATCAATATTAAAGATTCACGAGTTAATACAAACAAGCTGTCCTTTTTTAAAAGTAATTTAGCCTCACATTGCCCTCTTAAACGCATTATTGCAGCAGCATATGCAGCGTAAACGTGGCGGTTATTTAAGAAATAATTTATAAGAAAAACATTTATAACAACCTAAAAACAATCGCAGGATAATCATTCAGTAGACATGGAAAACACATCAAAATCTAATCTTAAGTATTTGACCCACAGAATGAATGCTTAAATTCGTCTTATATTGTTATTGAAGATTTGGAACCAAAGTGTGAATGGTGATATTTCAATTGACCAAATACTGGCCGAAAACAATGATAATAAAGGTATGTTACTTATTACAATATCACCTGAATGTATATGAATGATGCAAAAGAATACAAAATATGTAATAAAAAGTAACTTTTGGTTGATAATAAAGTTCATGTATTGTAATTCCGATAAATATTAAGATGCCTTTCGTGCACTAAAAATAGGCTAGTATTAGAAGTAATATAGAGATGTTTCATCAGTTATTTGATTAAGAATTAAAAGTTCATTCATCTATTAGTCAAGCATGTTTAAGTAGTATATGGGCCACTTTTGCCCCAAGACTGCACACGTGCGGTAGCACGACTGCACACGTGCGGCAGCAAGACTGCACACGTGCGGCGGCCATCTTGTTTACACATATATAGTAATATATTTGCATATCAGCGATGTGAATATCGGTATACATGCGGCGGTTATTTTATTGACTTATTTTCCAATCTTCCTCAAACCGAAAACCAATGACTCCAAAATGTACAATCAATTAAAGCGCATACTTTAAAAGAAATTGACCAATTAGGAGAGACCTTGTTGTAAATAAGACAGTGAGACACTAGCTCTGATAATTAAAGTTTTGATACTCGACCAACAAACATGACTAGCTAGAGTTCAGTTTCGGTTATCAGAGATATGTACACGTCAATGAATGGAAAGGCGAGCTGAGAGTCGATATAAGAGAATAAGGATAACAAACTAACGAAAAAGGGCATTAGCTTAACATTAATGCAATAGAAAAACTTTGTAGATCAGTTAGAATATGCGGACCAGGCTTTACAAAACAAGTTAAGCTACTGGAGTCAGTTTGGAGGAAATGTTTTCTGTAATATCACCGGCAGCAGCGTATGTTTAGATATTAGACAGTACTGGAAGCCAGAACAGGAATTAGTACCAGCTAAAAAGGGTATATGTTTATGACCTAAAGAGTATTCCTGTTTAAAGGAACTGGTTGCACAGATAGGAAAAGTGTTACCTGAACTGGATGCAGTGGTGCCCTGTTACCTTCAAAGTGATCAAATGAACAAGATTTGAGTTTTACAATGCCCGGAGTACAACCCCAATGATTGTGATAAAATCGCGTGACTATAAATAGCAATGACAAAAGGTCTATAAATAGACCGATAACCTCATTTTAAAAATAACATCCAATTAGAAATCAAACCGTGTGTATATCAATGAATACCCACAAAGCTTTGGCATAAACAAGATGAACGGTACTGATTAAACACCCCTCAAAACAAATATGGAATATTATGATAACAGACTGAAGACGTTTGAAACCTATCCGAAACAAATGTTACCAGATAAATACCAGTTTGCAAGTGCGGGGCTGTTTAACAGTGGGAAATAGGACGTGTGTGAATGTTTTAGATGTCACGTGGAATTGAGTGCTTGGGAAAGGTCGGAGTGTTCAATGAGAGAGCATTCTAAGTGGTCTCCAAACTGCGAAAATATAAGAATATTGGCGCCCAAAAACAAAATACAACACCAGCAGGGTTTCATTTTTGATCAACAACTAAATCATCACATTGCGGCTTTGGAACATTGAGTTCGTCTGCAAAGGGAGCAAATTTCTTTGTTAATAATAAAAACTTTTGAAATAAAGCAACTGTTCAGACGCATTGAATATGTTAACATTTGTATACATATATTGGACTTGGCTGAGATACTATCAATTTAGACGAGAATACCGCGAAGCCGTAGAACAATTACTCGACATTTTAGAACGTTTTATATGAGAAACCAAAACACATACTTTGTACTCGACTTTGTAATATGTTTTGGATGAATTTGTAATAATTTTGTAAGAATGTGTTCTTGTATTTGTTGATAATAAACATGTCTAACTGGAAACAATATTTGTCTTCTTTGTATTTTGACACATCCAACCCAGCAAGCTATTCAGATGTACAAAAATTGTACCAATATATCAAGTCTGAGGGAAAATTTAAAATCGGGAGGCATAAAATCCGAAAATGGCTTCAAAGTCAGCAGGCATATTCCCTGACTAGAGGAGCCAGAAGGAAAGTTCCTCGATCACGCGTTTTTGTAGAAGGGATAGACAGTCAATGGGATATGGACTTGATGGATAAGGTTGACTTGGCCAAACATAATGACGGTTATAAATACGTGTTAGTGGCAATAGCTTTTTTTTTCTCGCTTTGCTTATTGTGAGCCTATCAAAAACATTAAAGGGGGCAATGTTGTTAATGCATTAGAGCGAATTTTATCCGGTTTTAGAAAACCAAATACTGTGAGAACAGACAGAGGCATGGAGTTTAGAAGCAAAGAGGTCAATAAATATCTTCAGCACATGGACATTCATCATTTCTACGCTTTCAATACAGAGACAAAAGCGAATTTCGCGGAGATATGTATTAAGACGCTAAAGCATAAACTGTTTAGATATATGATAAAAAACAGAACCCAACGTTACGTTGACGTGCTCAGGAATATTGTACTTTCATATAACTCAGCTTTACATAGAAGTCTCGGTGATAAACCGATAAACATTACTAAAGAGTCAGAAGGAGAATGCAGACTTCAGCAGTACTTACTTAGGACCAAAGGCAGACCAACCACTCACAAGATGAAACACTACAGGTTCAAAGTAGGTCAGACAGTACGAGTGTCGCACGCAAATAGCGTGTTTAACAGAGAGTACTCTCAGAAGTGGACTGGCGAAATTTTCAAAATCAAATACCGTTTCAAACGAGACAATGTATGCGTATATACCTTAAATGACTGGGCCAATGAAGAAAAAAAATGATGGCACGTTTTACGAACAAGAATTGCAGGCAGTTAGTGTGGACGAAAATACAGAATACCACGTTGAAAAAATACAAAAGAAAATGATGCCAAACAAACGAAAGGAAGTACTAGTACGTTGGTTGCATTGGCCTAAGAAGTTTGACAGCTGGATCCAAGAAAAGGACCTGACACAATACTCTTAAGTTACGTGATCATTCTTGTATATAAAACAGATATATCCACCTGAGAAATTATCATTAATGGTTTTGTATGGACTCGAACTAATTTCCTCGCTAAATTTTGAAAGAGAAAGAGTCCATTTTTGTTGTTTTTACAGCGGCAAAATGGTTATAAATGGTATCAAAAGCCTGTCACAAATAGATGACGTAGTCTACCCTGTACTAATTGAACTGGAACTTTACACACGTAAGAAAGAGTGAGCGCTAAGAGAAATCAATCATGAACCAGTCTCAAGTGTACCGTAAACTCAACTTTCTTTTCCAGTTAAAAGATGCCACTGTAGCTGCCAGAAAAAATATGATCACTAATATGACAGGGGGTCAAATAAAGGTTATAGCGCAAGTGGCCAAAAGATTGGTGAATGGAACCATTGATCCCCCGAGGAGAGATGTTCAATAACTTGAAAGAAGACAAATTTGCTACGATTTCTAGCTTCTAAAATGTGTCACTGACTAGAAAGAAATCGTTGTTAAGACGTTATTACTCGTTCGTATTCGTATTGTTAAGACCGTCGTATCTCTTTGACACTATTATAGACGAAATACGAACAACTGAAGAAGCGTAAGAAGACAGTGGTTATATGTATTTGTGAAAACAAAATGAAACATGTCAGATTTTTACCTTATCTTAGTAATAAAGATTCTCAGGACATACGTAAGAACAATAACCCCGCAGACTTTTGTATTCAGTTCCCCAAATCGTACACCTTTGATGGAAATTGGATTTGCGCTTTGACAGAAATTACTTTTACCTGTGACTTTACGCCTAAAAGTAAAAGACTGTATTTATGCTGCAACCTGTTACAACAGACTTACGTAAGAAACATGCAAGTACCCGTACTTAGAAATATTGAAGTCGGTTCGAAGTACAAGAAACTTCAATTTGTAGAATATAGCCGCCCAATATACGTACCAGTGACTGTGAATCATTTCAACTTTTTACATTTGTATTTGAGAGACAAAGATTTAAACTGAGTTGAGTTCAATTCCAACGATCTTCATTGTGTATTACATTTCAAAAAAGTATGGGCTCCATAGAAGTCTACGATCACAAACAACAAAAATGGTTACCCTATTTACCCAACCCTGAAAAATGGTATCAACATTTCAAGGACTTGAGGAACGGGTACGTTAAAGCCGATCATAAAGGCCGCTACATCGTAGGTAGCGGAAATCAGCTCAGAAAAATGACCGAAATGAAACACCTCCAGTAAAACTGGTTTCCCCCGTAGCACACGCGATAGAAATAGCTAAGTCAGAGGTCAATCGTAAGAAGGTTGAAGAGGGCAAAAAGCGTAAGAAGGGGCCCCAAAAGCGTAAGAAGGCATTGTTACCCGCCTATAAACCATCTTAACGAAAGAGACCAAATCGAGAGTTTCAATTCTAAACATGAAAGATTTTCATCATATAAGAGCTGTCTATGTTCGTTACACCCCCTGCAGACACGTCATTACAATCGAGAGAATGGATTACATACCGTCCAGTAAATCAAGTAACAAATGCATCCGCTCTCGAATTTAATATACCGGGTCATACATTAGCGTACTTGGATCCAAAAAGAAGCGTTCTCAACCTAAAACTGCAAATTGTTAAAGGCGATGGAAGTGCAGTAGACCCGGATGAAGTAGTTGGTACGATCAATTTACCATTGCACGCCGTTTTTAGTCAGGTTGATGTGTCTCTCCAACAAACGCCTTTGTCGTACACAAGAATCAATTGTCCCTACAAAGCGTACATCGACACGATATTACAGTCCAACGAAAATATTCAAATTAAACAACTTACCAGTCAACTCTTCTATAAAGATACGGGAGACGATGGAACCATTGATGTTAAAACGGGTAGTAATGGTGGACTATTTTTTTTAGATACACTCTGACTAAAGGTAGCAAAATTGTAGAAAAGGAAGCACCATTACATATTGATTTGTTTCAACAGTCGAAGCTACTCATTATTGGAGTCTCTATAGGTATAAAACTCCATCCTACCCGGGACCCATTTACACTAATTACAGAAACTGTCAATCCCGA